ATCTGCACAGGACACCAAAGGCACAGTAGATTAAGTCTACTGCGCATTAGCACATCAGGCAAAAGCTGTGCTAATGCACTAATGTGCAGTAAATGAGTCTACTGTGCATTTGCATCACTAAAAATCCATACACTGGTGCTACCACTCAGTAGCACCACTTACTGTCCATTGGGTTAGTACTTGTTATTACAGATACTAAACTTAATGTGCAATAAGACCAGTGCATTAATGCACATGTAGACGTGGCCACAGAGCACTATTCAGCTAAGGATCTCAAAGCACCTTCCCAACAGTGCTCAGTACAAAAGAGCCAGAGAAAATGAGATCATATCTGGCTATTCCAGGATCTTCTCTCCCTTTTACACAATCTAGTACCATCTTCCTTCAGGGGAAAGTACAAGAAACTCTTCGGTAGATGCTGACCAAGATGTTCGTGGCGAAATATCCGATTTAACCTCAAAGAGCTAGAGATTGACCCTTGCTCCTGAAGTATGGGGGTTTACTTTGCTTTCAAGACTCCTTTTCATTTCTTAATCCTTCCAATTGAAGCTCAGCTTTGTTTTTTTCTTTAGAAATAGCTGGTCTGTTTTTTTTTGTTTTAATCCAGGTAACCTTGTGCCAATGAATCCTTCCATGCACCGTATAAGCAATATGCAGAAGTGCTTCCTTTTCACCATTCTGAATGAGCTCCTTCCAGTTTTATTGGGCACCCTTTGGAAAGATTGAATTAGACGTTCTCAAACTGCCTTCTCTAGGCCATTCATTATCTTGTGTGCTTTTATCATCCCTTTTAATATTCACTTCCCTAAGCAATCCCTAAATTTTTCCAGTCTCTTCAAATGAGGTGCATTTTTCATGCCACCAATCACTTTTACCCATGTCCAATCCCCCCTCTGTTTCTGCTATCTCCATTCAGAGAACTGCACGTGTTATTCCAGGTGAGATCAGATATCATCTCCTCCTTGGGGAAGCTAAGGCACAAAGCAGACTTGTTCCAAGTCATTCAAGTCCATGTCAGAACTGGAGGTAGAAGCCATACCTCCTAGCGAGAGTCTTCACCTATGTCCTACATTGCTTTCACGCATTGCTTGACTGTTTATAGGTGATGTGACAACTTAGCAAGTCACAGAATATATGTCAGAAGTAGCTATCAGAGGACACTTCAGTGTCACCAAGACAAAGGCAGAAAGTGAGTTTTGTCTGCCTTTTCTTCCATGGGGAATCGTAGTTTCCTGGAAACAATTGTGCTTGTTCGTTTTCAGGATGACCCCTTCTGGACAGCTAGTGCTCTCTCAGCTTCTGATTACGTGAAAGCTGGGAACCAATCTGTCTGTAAGCTGGAGGATATGTTACAGATCATAAAGGACAACACTTCATTGATCCTGAACTTCCAGAACCTGCCACCAGATCATCCTTACCACAGCACTTATATCAACATCACCCTGGAGACCATCCTGATGTCGGGGATTCAGCAGCAGGCAGTAAGTTGTGCATCACTTTGCATCTGGAGGCTTGTGGGTTGGCCGCTTTCAAGCATGATGAAAAGACAATTGCTTTAAAAATGGGAGAAATCCAGGTCTGTGTTGACTTGTTTCCAGTTGGATTCACTGTGCAGGGAACTGGGCAGTTCCCTTGTTTATGGGATGTTTTCAATAGCTGGGGCTTTGAAGGTTTAAGCTGGATGTCTTTCTCACAGGGCTACCTACTTTATTCTTCTATTTTTTTCCTCTACCATAAAGGTTTGCGGGCCCTTCTCTTCTTGGCCATGATGGGGCTTTGTATATGCCACATTTTTTGTTTTTTCTTGCACTGCAACTGCGTGATTGTTTGCACGAGTGGGTTTTCCAGATGCTTTAAAAGTCTTTCTGCTGCATTAAACTAAAACTCCTCGGATGTAGTTTAGTTTGGCTTGCGAGGAATTAAAACGTCACATCCATGGATTTGTTGTGTGCAAACACAAAGGCACTCAAAGATGCGTAATGAGCCTCTGTCCACCAGATGCCACTGCAACGTTTTTGTAGTCCACCCCTTTGAATTACTTTTGCTTTTGAATTGCTTCCACTTTTTTTTTTCCTTGTGTGGTTTGCTGGCTCCCTGCTTCCACGGCTGCATGGCAGGGCATGGGCACGGTGTGTGTGGGGGAGGGCCTTGGGCTGGGGAAGCAGCACTGGACTGTTCCACTCTCCTGAGATGCCAGCAAGGCACCCAGCTTCATTCGTTTGAAAACCTAGCATGTGTAAACACAGATACAATGCTCCAAAGCTTAATTCATTTGAAAACCTAGTGCGTGTAAACACAGATGTGACACTCCAAAATAAACAAGTTTAAATTCTATAAGCCTATTTAATTTAATAAGGATTACGACATGTGGTATGTACAGGTGCCTAATGAGGCTTCTCAGCTTGTTTCCCAGTTAAGTAACTACACTCAAGCTTGTATTTCTGTCTGGGGTTGTTCAGATCCCAGAGTGCCTCCGTTTTGTAATCTGGGAGCTGTTTGGGGGAACTCATGACTTTGGAAGCCCACAGACCACGTTGTGTGGCAGGGTGCTGGCACCTGAATTGGGAAGAACAAAAGACAGCCTTACCTGGCCCCAGCCCAGAGGTAGCTCAGCTCCGACGTTCTGCAAGACTAAGAGATGCTAGTGTCCTGTTACGGGGCATCCAGGTTGCAAAGACATGGTCCCAGATCTCTGAAAGTGAAGGGCTTCTTTTTGCTCAAAGCAAGCAGCACCTGAGACTTTCTAAGTTCAAGACAGTGGGGTGCAGAGGAAAGAGGCTGATGCTTGGAGTGTAAAATGGAGGAATTGCTTCCCTTCTGAGGAGGTGGGACCTAGCAGGGATGAGAAATCAGTGCCAGTCAGGCTGTTTTCTCTTTAGCCTAGTATTTTGCCCTGCTTTCCTAAAGAGAAGGAGAAACAAATACAGAGGCAGTTCCTTTAGTCTGAAACCGCAAGTCAGGCCTGAAAGCCCTGTCCCAGGGCCTATCCTAAGACAGATCAGTGGCAGATCTTGCCAGCTTTGGTCTGTTAACCTGCTCCAGATGCATTTCCAGCACCCTTCTCAGACCTTCCAGAGACCAGGGCTGGAAAATAAGTGCAAAGAATGAATCTCAAAGCACCATCTCCCTCTGACCCTGACAGCTGCATCACCTGAGCCCAGCGTGCTAGGTCTTCTCCTGGAAGAAAACTTCCCTCTTCCCCTTCACATTGGAAACAGGCCCATCCCTGGGAGCAATGCAGCCCTTTAAGTATAGGGTCTCAGTTGCCCCTGATCAAACCAGGAAACCTTTTAGTCATCACCTCTCCCCCTAATTGTAACTGGCTTAAAATAAACTGAGCAGCTGTGTGAGTTGTGCCTCTTAAAAATATTTCAATCTTCCCAATTAGGCGAATAATGCAAATGCATGGAAAGAAAAAGTGGAAATGTTTGGCGATCACACTTAGGAAATAATTAGCCTGGGGGAAGGATCTAATTTTAGCCTCCATCTGTCTTTTGAGTGACTGACACTGCCATACAATTTTCAGTGAAACATGTGGCCCCACCAACAGAGATCTTTTGCATAAACTCACCTGAATCTCTTATCTGCTCCCCCTCAAAGTCATGGGGGAATCATGTTCCTTTCGCATTGCAATTACCTAAGTGATCCCATAGTGAAGAAGTGAGCAGGATCTTTCTAAATGTAGGCCTTCCTCATCCATTTTGAAGCCCGCTGCCTAGCTATATCAAGTCAAGTCCTTTTTGTCCCAGGATCCCCGCTTCTTGCAGCAGCATCTTCACATGCTATGTTAGATGAGCCTTGATTAGTTGTTATATGTATGTTGGTAGACTTGAAGGCCCAGAAGCACCATTTGAATGCCTATCAGGCTGATCAAAGGGTAGACTAGGTAGCGCTAGTCTGGGCTGGGGACACGCAGGTAGATGGCCGGAAGCTGTCCCAACCCAGCTGCCATCTTCACATTGACCTGCGGCACTACAGACCACCTCCCTGGCCTCCGCTTGTGAGGAATTGGGTAAAGAGGGATGCTTTTTGATGGGCACAAAATGTGTGGGCATAAGGCTGTTCTTGTTCCTTTGCCCTTCTTATCTGGAGATGAGAAGTTGGCACAAGAGCCCACGGAGTCAGCCAGCAGTCCCCATTTTCGAAATGTATTTTAATGAAGATGTGCGAGACTTTAAGCAGCTCTGAGCTGATTAGACCATTAGGAGCAAAGCCAAGCGAGAGACTCTGGCCTAATTTCTCTTCCTCCATGAGACCGTAATCCTCGCAACCTCCCAGCTGCAGCTTGTAAGAACAGCCTGAAGCAGCCCACATTGCCGCCTTTGAGGCTTGACTCTTTAATTGCATTGGCTTTCTGTGCTGACTGAGTCTCCCCCCAGGTGATGTGGCTGCCCGATACGGAGCGGCAGCTGGTGAGGCAGATTGCGCCTGGTTTCCAGCAGACTTCTGGCATCAAGGCCGGTGTCAAGCGCTTGAGAGAGAAGGGCATCAAGAAGCTGAACCTGCGCTACACCAAGGTCACCAGCGAAGACATCAGGTACAGCCCTTTGCTTTGGTGACTGCGAACCTCCCCATGTTCTGTGCCGTTGTGTAGACGTCATCCTGCATTCATTTACACATCCGGGGGAGATGGCCCGCTCTGGCCCATTCATAAGGAGACTTCCCATATTCCTGAAGCTGGCCCTTGAGCCTAAATTGCACAAATTGCCATACGTAGACTCATAAAGAAGTAAGGCTGGAACTGACCTCTATAGGTCATCCAGTCCAACCCCCTGCCCAAGAGAGGATCATTCCTCTCCAAACCATCCCATACAAATCCATTGTGTAACCTCTTAGCAAGAGTCAACCCTGACACAACACAAGACATACATCATATACCTGTGACAGGTGAGGCAGGAGGACTACTACTGCAAAGGTGCTGGAGCAAGAGTAAGTGGGATGGAGGGGGCAGGTAGGGAGCAGAGGCTGTGGGGAAGGGGAGGAAGCAGGGTCCCAAGGATGTGGGGGGACTGTCAAACCTTGTCTTAAAGACCCCCAGGGTAGGAGCCAGCACCACTTCTCTTGGAAGTTAGGTCCAGATCCTAGCCGCCCTGACCGTGAAGTCGCGCCTCCTGATATCTAGCCTAAATCTACCCTCTGCCAGCTTGTGACCGTTGTTCCTGGTCACTCCTGGCAGTGCTCCAGGAAACAG